AGAGTCACAATGAACAAGGTGCAGTGAAGCAATGCACAGGGCACGGTGTCACAATGAACAAGGCGCAGTATTGCAGTGTGTGATGAATTCCACAGTCCACAACATATGAGGGAGGCAGGATGCCTCCAGTTCAACAGTGCACGTTTCGGTGGTCTGTCATGGTTATTGGCTTTCGGAGCCCCTCCAGGCGTCTTTGAGGTGCCAGTGGCCCCGCTGTGGAGAAGCCAGCACAGTCCCAGGACCAGTCGGTCCCAGAGGAGGGACCTTCAAGGCTCTGCCCCTCACTGTCTGGCTTCCCTTCTCTGTGAGACACACGTCAAAGGTCTCCTCAGAGATCTCAAGTTCAAGTTTGTTGATTTTTCATTCCAGACAGGTATTCTGTGGAAAGAAATATCCTTCCTCCTGGTCCAAAGTGCAAATACAGACAGGACAGACAGACCACTGACAGACATTGGAGGCAGGATACACATAGTGCAAGGTGCAAAGTGCAGATAGTGCAAATTACAAAGCAATACATAATACAATATGCACAACACACTGATCTTCTGGTGCGAATGACCTGGCTTAACTCTCTTACATCCAGATTCAAACAAAACTACACGAATCAACTTGCCCTTAGAGACTTGGGAGCTGCCCAATGTCTAGAAATCGACCCTCGTGACGAATCAGATCCTTCAGTCAGTAAAAACGAATCCTGTGGAATGTGCGATCACCTGGGCCAAACAGATCAGTTCCTTTTCCTGCAGTGGCCTTCCAGTCCCACAGGATCCTGATCAGGCTATCAAGCTAGGCATGTCCAGTTTTCACTCCCAGAGGAGGCCTTGGTCAAAGCCTTGGCCTGCTCCATCAGCAACGCACACTGTAATGATGCACAGGGCACAGTGTAGCAATGCAACATGTAACAATGCACAGGGCACAGTGTAGCAATGCAACGTGTAACAATGCACAGGGCACAGTGTAGCAATCCAACATGTACAGTAACAATGCACAGGGCACAGTATAGCAATCCAACATGTAAAGTAACAATGCACAGGGCACAGTATAGCAATCCAACATGTAAAGTAACAATGCACAGGGCACAGTGTAGCAATGCACAGTGTGCCAATGCAAAGGGCACAGTGTAGCAATGCACAAGATGGGCGGATCAGTATCACATGCCTCTATAATCGCCTTCACCTATAACCTACCAGCCAAACACCGCCTAGCAACCCGGAAGTCCATTCACAAACAAGGTGTTCGAGACTGACTTCCTGACTCCGAGATGCAGACCTGGGGACTTGGTGGCCCGAGCCGTGCACGCTGTCGTAGGAAAGCACCAAGAATCACAGACGGTTCCTTTCAGGGCACATAGAGCTGCGCGGTAAAACCGGTAAACCGCGGTCCTTTAGTCACGCGGTACGTACCGTGGTACGTTTTACGCCGTACCGGTTCGCTCGGTAATTTCCGGCAAAGTCCGTTAGCGGATTTCATTTTTCGATTTTAACAAAGATTTTCCTCTGTTTACATTCATAAAATCCAATCTGATCCAAAGAACAAAATGACTGCGATTAAATGTCGTTAACTTTCAAAGGGTGAGAAAAAAAAGGCATACTAAAAGTATTTCCCCGCATATCATTGGCTAGTATAGTACGTTTAGAAATATGACGTGATTTCGGAAACCACGCAGAAATAATCGCAGCTGATTGGTTCAGAACGACCTTGACTTTCACCAATACGGACATTCCCAATGACCCATTGAACATGTGCTGTTTTTTCTAGTTTTTCTGATTCTACTGTAGCTCTAGTCGGGAAGGAAGTCTGGTTCTTGATCATGTTATTAATTCCATTACTACCATTAGACAAGCTTAGAGTTTTTTTCTTTTTTTGCAAGCAAGATTGTCTTGAGCTGTTTGAGTCAATATAGAATGTCGTATCCCGACACTGTTTTAAACATAAAGTTGACGTTCACAACTTTATGAAACACGTTCAGCATGTTCGATTGCCCTCGGCTATTTCAGCAAAAACGTCAAAGAATCCTCAAGATTCTTTGACGTTTTTGCTGAAATAGCCGAGGGCAATCGTACATGCTGAACGTGTTTCATAAAGTTGTGAACGTCAACTTTCAAGCACCTGTCAAATCTGGAATTTTACGTTATCTTGCTCAGCCAAATTAACCTCTTATACCTTGTGGGGGGGAAAAAAATGTAATCTTTTAAGGCCTGACAAAAACGTGCATGCTGTTAAATTGTTCTGTTACACTGTTCAGTGTTATTTCTAGTTCTTTAGTTCCAATGAAACAACAACATAATTTCCATGATTTATCAATCTGCTTTACTAATCATGAAATCAAACTATGAGAGAGTCTCCATACATAAACATGCAAAATAGTCTGCAGTATACTGCAGTACATGCAGGAGTTCAGATTCTGTTAACAGCAGTGGCACCTCGAGAGCCGGGACCTAGGGGTAGGGGGGGGTCTCCTTTAGCTCACTCGGCTGGCTCCTGGGTTCGCGCCCCAGGCGATGAGCCGGGACGAACCGGCGGGGTGGAGCGGCGAGGGCAGTCCGATACCTGTGGACACACTTTGACCCCTCGTGGCCGGGACTGGGGATCCCTGTTGCAAAAGCCCACTGTGTTCTGTGTCGCAGACGACATGAGGTTCCTGCTGAAGGTATTCAACAACACGGAGGACCACAGGGACGCGGCCGTGGCGCTGGAGTTGCACGGCGAGGGGAGAACACGAGCGCTCTACTGCAAGGAGGAGAGCACCGTCGCTTACAAGGTGAGCCTGGGTACCGTACCCATCCAGCGTAAGAGCTCGGCTGCAAGCCTCCTGCGGTTCACAGTGTGAGCCGATCCCAGGATCCCCCTCCTGACCGACTGTGCTGTTCGCTTCACCAGCACAGTCGGACAGCTCGTCCCGGAACCCCGCCCCTCCCTCACAGCCACTAGGTGAACAAAAACTTCCAAAAAGGAACAGAAGTTTTGGCCAATGCACGCACGTTTCCTCCACTAACCGCTGCCTTCGCTGTTGCAGGAGACGGCCTTGGCCGACACCATCCCCGGAGACTCTCACGAGAGTATCTTTTACCTCAGGAGGATCCAGGACAACACTTTCACGCTGGAGTCGTCAAAATACAAGGGCAGCTACCTGTTCTGCTACCAAGATGGCCCCTGCTACAAACTCATTTTGAAGAAGATGACGGATGAGGTAGATGAAGGCCAACACGTTACAATAGAATCGTGCTCGGATGAGGACCCATGAGTCAGAATTCCCTGTCCGTGCGGGAACAGTACCCCCTCTATTGCCCCCAAGTTATTACACTTGTCTGGTTTGAAATGAATTTTTAGTTGCTTTTGGATAAGGGCAACAATTAAATCAATTCACAGAGTGAAATTAAGGGATTAATTTATTGATTAAATGCCCTGCACAAGTTAAAATGAAAGTCTAGAAAGAAATGTAGATTTCAGCTACTCATGGGAGATTCCTCTAGGCAGGAGTATTTGGGAAATAAGTATATTCTCCAGTAACATGAGCCCAAAAGTAATAAGGAATAAAGAAAAAATAAATGGTGTTTTAGTAGTGTGGGTCTCACATTTGTGGCTCCTGATTGTAGCCTTTTTATGGAAATTATTCCATAGTTTGTGCTCAGAAAAAGAGATTACTCTTTTCTGTCAGAACAGGCTCGTGGTTTCCTCTTCAGAACGAAGTCTTTTTACAGGTCTAGCAGTCCGTTTAACTGCAACATACTGTATGCGAGGCATTATACGGTTTCAAAAATGTTTTTTAAAACATTCTTTCCACGATGTGTGATCCACGCCGTACAATGCACAGCATGCGACTGACGCAGGTTTTTTTTTGCCGTTCAGCTTGATTAAATATTTAACTCTGCCAGTGTCTTTGCTTTTTGTAACGCTGCCAAAAATAGCATTCCCCCCAATCAAAACTCACCCACTTGAAATCCGAGTCTCATTGGGAATGCCGATTTCCTAGCTGTGCTCCCACATGACTACTCAGAGAAGTAACAAAGCAGACAGAATGCAAGAATGTTGTAGCAGCAGAATCAGTCATGACATTAAGTCATGAGCCTCTGCAAAATGAAAATGGGATGACTGCGGCTAGATGGGAAAATGACTCTGCCTTCAGCATTCCAGATATTCCGGATTCATTTTTGCCTGAATCTATAAGGGAGGAACCTTAATTCGGAGTCAAGTCAAATCGAACCAAACAGGTGTTTTCGAAAGAGCTCAGGTGTCATACTGGGGGTGCGCCTGTCACCTCCAGCCCATGCTGCTCTCGGTTCTGGGGGGCTACAGTAGAAACAGACACAGAAACAGCAGGGCATGATGCCCTCGTTCAGGAACTCAGCAGGGCGGAGGCCGTGACATGTCTCAGGAAACAGAACGGGCCACCCAGCCAAGTCGGCTGAAGAGAAGCCTTTGGTTTTCTTTCACGATAGGAAACCTTAATTAATAATAATAATTGCTTACACTTATATAGCGCTTTTCTGGACACTCCACCCAAAGCTCTTAACAGGTCATGGGGATCCCTCCAGCCCCACCAGTGTGCAGCCCCACCTGGATGATGCTCCAGTCCTCTCCCCACACACCAGCTCTCAGTGGGGAGGAGAGCAGAGTGGTGAAGCCAGTTCAGAGATGGGGATTATTAGGAGGCCGTGATGGGTAAAGGCCCAGGGGAAATTTGGCCAGGATGCTAGGTTTACACCCCTACTCTTTTCGAGAAACACCCTGGAATTTTTCATGACCACAGAGAGTCCGGATGAGACATAAAACCGAGGTCCTAAGGACTATACTGGGGCATTGGGACCCACATAGACCGCAGGGTGAGCGCTCCCTACTGGCCCCACTAACACCTCTTAACAGCTTACAGGCCCCTGCACTCCAAGTCCCTGTCCCATCCGCTCTGACTGGGACAGATGCCAGTTCCCCGTCACAGCTCAGAGTTAAGAGGAAGCTACTGAAGAGGGGTGAATGACTTTCACTTCCCTCTCCTGCCTTTAGAAGGGTGGATGGAGGCTTGCCATGGTACAAAACAAACAAGCAAGCCGAGGCTCAGAACTGACACATCAAAATAAACTCAGGTGCATTTAAAGGAGATAAAGATAAAGGTTTATTTCATACCGAAAGGAAAACTAAAGAGAAGTTATGTCTGTTTTCTTTTCCTTTCCTCATGGAATTAACCTTTACCTGTTCCTTTGCAGCCTACACAGCTCCCTGCCTGAACTAAGGTGTATTTAGCTTTCTGCTGAGTTCTACTATGCATCTTAAGATAAGAGAGATAAGATCACTTTATCGACCCTATACAATTTCTTGCATTAGGAATTTGTCTTTTCGCAGACCCCAGCTTGCTCTCCATGAGACACACAGACAGGGAGAGAAGCTGGGGGTCAGAGCGCAGGGTCAGCCATTCATACGGCAACCCTGGAGCAGTTGGGGTGAAGGGCCTTGCTTAGGAGTAGGACTCCTCTGCCAGCCGTGGGATTTGAACCGGCAACCTTCCGGCATCAAGCGTGGATCCTCAGCCACAGTGCCACCGCTCTGTTAAACCAGCAGGTCCCCACAATGGAAATGACATATTTCCAGTCAGTTTACTGTTCATATGCACAAGCGCCATGAAATGCATTAACGTTGGAGGTGGTGTCACAGCACAGCACTTGGCCCCCGTTCCCTCCTCCCTCTGCTTCTGGTGGCGCTGTGGTTCAAGACCAGACAGGGCGACGCCAACACGCTCCTGCTGAAGGCGCTGGCACGGTCCGCTCCCCAACGGGTGTAAGCACGCTTGAGTTATGCGCCGGTGTAAGACCAGGCCCCGGCGAAATCTGTTCTAACCTGGAGTGACATGAAAGATCGAGCCGCCTCGCTGGAGTCGCAACAGAGATTCACAGACCGGCAAGGCAGAGGACACAACTGGCGCTGCCCACCGCGGAGGAGCCACGATGGACGCGGGCGGGGCCCTGGCGTTTTTCCTGCGAGGAGGCCCGGAGACGCACTGAGACGGGAGCAGAACCGACGCACTGGGGCCTGCTTCCCGGCCTCCAGACCGCTCCTCCGGGCTTCTCCCTGCTTCCTCTGGGACCAGGCCAATGGGGGGGGGACGGGGGACTGCCTTCCTGGAACTGAACAACCGCAGAAACACGAACCAAACCCTTCCTGGCGTGACCAGACGGGTCCCATGTTCGCGGGACGAAAGCCACTGCACACAGACGAGCTCCACTTTCTGAAACGTTTTAATGAAAAAACGAAGACGCAGGTTCCTGCGAACAATCATAAGACACGAAAACCGACACTCCTACTGCTAGCTCTTTGCTGCTTTCCTCCTCTAGTGGGCACGCTGCAACTTTTCAGCATATACTGTGGTGTCCAGCAAGCATGGCGGTGAGACATTAAGTGCCTTATAGTTCTAGGGTCCTGGGTCCGAATGGGTGGAGTCTGCGTGTTCCCCATGTCCACGTGGGCTCTCTCTCACACACACACCCCCTCCAAGGACGAAGCTGCCACTGAAAACAGATGGATGGAGCTCAGTGGCCAGGAAGAGCTCGCAGATCCAGCGAAACCTCCGCGCTCTGGAAACGCCGTGATCCTGCCCAAGACCCGCTCCACAGGATGACAGAGCGAGCCCTAGGAACCCGAACGGTTCCTGAGCGAGGCGGGAGCCTGCTGAAGGGGCTCTGCTTTTGCAAAATGAGGTGTGTTGTCAAGAGCTGATGAATAACGTAGTGCAGTGCAAATGCAGTCTACTTCCCCAACAATCCCTGGTACCGCTAATCAGCTTGCACACCGATATCCTGAAAACACCTTAGGCGAACAATCAAGCTGCAGTCCAGCACTCGGCGGGGGCCGTGAGGAACCACAGGAGGAGGAGACTGCTGGCCAGCTGCTGAAAACATCAACACGGCGATCAGGGACGGCAGCGAGCTGGACAGCCAGAGCTCACGCCCCATGTGGCTGTCACTCGCTTAGAAACCGCGGCCACACGATACCCCCCCCATGCTGTATCCGAATCAGAAATTAAGAAAAATAAACGTCAGAGGATGTCGGTCCTAAACTGAGCTCCATTAAACCCCCCCCAAATGATTTGCAAAAAGCAAATAATGTTTAGATCTGCTGTATATGTTTTCATGAAGAGGTGCTGCATGTATATGACCATGCCCCACTGATTTCCCTTCGCAGGAGTGTGTTTTAACAAAGAACGACTCTGCATTTCCTGTCTGCTCAGCTATTTCCTGCCTCTCGCTGGTGCTGCTGCTGCCGCCGATTAAAGCATTTTTCAATTCTTAAATACCCCATCCCCCCTCCCCCCCACTTCTGATCAGCAGAAACGCAAGACGATTTCCAAACGGACCCCTGAGACGGACCTGATTGGCGAACTTCCTTCACGTTTAAACAAAGCAATCTCGGATAACATTAACAAAGAAAGACAAATCACGTCTGAAGCGCTGTGGAGGTTGTCCAAAGAGAACGTGATGAGGGCAAGGCCCAGGAGGAGCGTGCCGTCGGCTGGAGCCGGGTCACGCGCCCTGATCGCCCGGCCCCCTGCCGCTACAGGGTCCACAGCATGGCCACGGCCTTGCAGATGCCCACGTCGTGGTAGTTGAAGTAGCAGAGGCCGGCGAAGGTGACCGCCGAGAGGGCGAGGAGGCCGGCGTTGGCCACCTTTATGGAGCTGCTTCCGTGGACGTAGTCCGTCACCACCTGGCCCAAACCCCTGCGAACAAGACAAAACTGGTGATGGTGGTCGGGTGGGGGGGGGAGGGACCCAGAAAGCGCAGCGCATTTCATACGGCTATGGAGCAGAGAGGGCTTTCACAGGGCAGGCCAGGACAGGCCCCCTCATATTAGAGTCAGCTGCACTGTGCCCGGCTCAGCGCCAGCTTGGCGAGCATGTGCCCAAAGTGAGCCAAGCAATCTTAGAAGAGGAAACGCAAAACAACCGCCCTCCCTGGCGGTTCACTCTGAGCTCGTGCACCTCCAAGCGCCCTCCTCCCTGGGTGGATGGGGACCTCCGGCGGTGCTGCACAGGCTTGAACGCCCAGCACAGGGGTGATGGGCGTCGGGGAGGTGCTCCATGCAAATCAGCACTTCTGCACGGACGTGTTTGAGGGAGGGAAGGAGGTGAGGAACGCACCAGCGCGTCATGGAAAGATCACAGGGCACTTGAGGATCGTGGCCGGCTGCTCCCGGCTGAACCAGTTCCGCACCCCAAGGGTAACCCAGACTCGTTCGTTTTGGGGGCGTTTCGGAGAGCCCCTCTCTTTGCCTGCCGGATCAGAATGTAACGGCGCTGGGGGCCTTCAGTCGGCGCTGTGAACCCAGGTGTCTGGTTGTGAGAAATCTGCAGATCCCGATGGATCCAGAGGCAAACCACAACGGCGCTTAGGGGCTCCGTAAGCTCACCGCCGTCGGCTCGGCAACGCAGCTCGGCTGCAAAGGCTGTCTGAGGGCGAGGGCAGTAAAGAAATTTGTGCTCTGAGAAGAGAACAACAGGCCCTGTTCTCACAATCATCCTGAGCCTTGGTGAGTAGCTGACTGATCGCTGCAATCGCTCACGCCTCCCTTTCATCAGGTAACAGACGTTCTGTTTTGAAACAATGATCTCTTGGTACGCAAACAATTGAAACTAAGAAAATATCTTACTGATGTTTTTTCTGCTGGAATATCTGCAATTGTTGTGGCTTCCTCTTATACGACTGTGCGACTCTCACTGTGTAAAAAGGGAAACAGCAGGCAGCAGGTCCAGACATTTCTCCCAGCTCTCAATTCGGATTCTGCAGGAAGGGCAGTCCCAGTTTCCCAGCACGCTGCCGATCTCCAGGCATTCGACTCGGGCGCCGACCAGGAAGCATGGCCCGCGTGGCCCGTTCAGGTGGTCTAGCTCCTGCAACAAGTCCCCTTCTGCTCACTGCTGGACTTCACTGGCTTCCTGCCTGTTTTGCAAACTTTCTGACTTTCCGATTTTTAGCTAGGAAACTAAAGAGTTTTTTTTAATATAAAATATTTACATACATTACAAAAATAACACACGGGGTTCAACACTGCATCTTACTTATTATTTTCCCCCCACAGACAGGTTGGCTTCTGCTGCTGTATTGAACCTTCCTGTCGATACCGATATTGATATTCTGATACTGATACGCGGTACTGATAGTCTTCACAGCGCGGTACCCCCGAGGCAGCAGGCCGAGCTTAACAGCCCTGGCAGGACTAAGACTCCCACCGCAAAGTGAGGTGATCCACTTCGGGCTTTACGATAGGTGCTCTACTGAAGGAAATGAAAGGCAGCAGAGTTTAACGCCACACAGCGGCCCCAGCATACTTGTCACAGATACCGGGCAGGAAACTGGCAGCTGGTATGACGTGAACCGGCTCAGATGGCTACACCTCGACGGTCTCGTCCACTTCCACGCACAGTCTTGGGCACGATCGGGTCAGCGCCAGCCTCGGCACTGGCCCATCCGGCCCCACAAAACCAGTCACGGGGCCCCGAGAGAAAACCCACACAGAACCAGAACCAAAACAAAACAGGACCAGCCCGCAATTCAGAGGTAACAGGCATCCTACCGTAGCACCTTGCTGATTTCCTGCTCTAATGGAACAAAAAAATTCTAAAAAGAAAAAATAGCATTACTGAAAATACAGCTACTGGAATTTTTCTAAAATATAGACATGAAATTAAAGCCACACGTGTAACTACCTAAATTCTATCTAAGCCTTGCGTGCATGCTGTGTTACACACAGAACATTAATATATATATATACACAGCACACCACACGTACACAAGTGTATTAATAATATTGACCTGCAGCTGTACGGTATTTTCTGTAACTTCCCTATTCCTCATCTATTAACGGCAACCCAAGACTCTGCACGAGCAACTGGAAACCAGTCAGACTAACACTGGTGCACCTAGGAATGAGCTGCTGCAGGCTCTCCAAGCCTCTAGCGTGGAACTGGTGCTGAATTGTTCCACCCGGTTCGACCAAGAGAAAGAATCTGTAAAACAGGTATCGGTGTCATGATACAACTTGCTCCCCACCCTGTCACCTTCTCATGATCACCACTTATCTGCCACACAGACTCCCCCAGCCCAGAAAAAGAACAAACTCCATTTCAAACTCGGCTTCAAAGCCAGGTTTTGGGAAGTAAGGAAAGGCAGCTGTTGCTCTCTCCCCCTTTCAGCAGGACCCAAGCGTTCTGTAGCGAAGCCTGAGCATCGCTGATTCCCTTCCCTGCTGGTCTTCACCCGATCTTCCTCCTGCCTGCCATGAGCAACCCAGCTCTTTCTGCTGCCATGCTCCTCCCCTGGCGCACCTGTCCACGGGGGTTAACTTTCAACCCGCCTGTTTAAGACGGGGCCAGGTGAAGCAACAAACAGCTGAACCCGGTGGACTAGACTTTACACACAGCAGAGTTCAGGAGCCCCTGAAAGCCCGGAGGCCCTCAGCCGTTAAACTCAGAAGCGGACATTCATACTTTCAGCCCAGATTGGGAAACGTCCCTGAAAAAACGCACCTGACTGCTACCGTCTCCATCTCTGACTGCTACCGTTCCACGCTCCCACAGCCCTTTGTGTAAACAAGTTCGATTAAATTTGTTTTTATATAGCACCTTTCCCAACACGTGCCTCCAGGTTTACTAAACACTTCCCAATAGCGTCCGTTTGGGTCCTGTGGTTGATGCTTCACTGTTGATCCGCAAGAAGTCCATTGGGTCCACTTTGCCAACGTCTCTGTGGATTCTGAAGACTGGGATCAGGTCCCCTTGTACCTCATCACTGCTCAGGACTCCTGAGATTGAGCTCCTCGAGTTTCGGAGTGTGGGATATCCCTTTAATCCTGGGAGTGTGTCTGCTTGCCCTTCCTGTGCTGGATTGTGACTAATGAAAAGGGCTCTCCAGGCAGAGCAGGTTGTCAACTGTCCTCCAGGCACCCGGGCACCACAGAGAGAGCAAACCCACCATCAACCCAAGCTCCAGAGCCGCGTCACGATAAGGAGTCGGGCGGACCGCAGCCGACACCTAGGATTCCCAGCCCAGCGGGCGGAGGAAGAGGGGAACACAGGACGGGTGTGGCAGTGGTGTGGGGCGCGGGGATCACAGGGCACAGGCTGAAGGGCGCAGGTTGCAGAGTGCAGATCAAAGGGCACGGGGCACAAAGTGCGGGCTGCAGGGTGCAGATCGCGGGGAGCGGAGTGCAGGATGCAGATCCTGGGGCACAGATCGCAAGGGAGCGGGGTGCAGGATGCAGATCTTGGGGCACAGATCGCGGGGAGCGGGGTGCAGGATGCAGATC